ATACTGTATCTGGTTTTACTTTTACAGTTTTAGTGGTTGATGGTTCCAATGTTTCTACAAGGCTTCCTTCTTCTTGTACTAATTTGTATATCTCTTCATCTGTCATAATTGGATGTTTCTTTGGTCCTTTCAAACCTTCTTCTTAAAGTGCCTATCCGTTCCGGATGTTGGCGTTCATCACGGCTATCTTTACTTTGTTTACTGCAGCGCGGAACAGTTCAGTGGTAGTCGTGTTATACCACTTTCGTAAATTTTGAAGCCAGGATCTTCTTCTCGGTCCTCTCTTACCGGAGAAGCTGGAGAAGGCCGTAACGTTCTTGATTTCTCATTACATATCCTAGATATTCCAACTTTTTAGTTTTGACGGTCATGAGAATTTCACATTCTTTCCCCATTCTACGCAGGACCTCCACATTAGTAACTCTGTCAACCCAGGATATACGTAAGATGCGCCTATAACACTACATTTCGAAAGCTTCGAGACGATTCATAGATGCCACAGTCAGTGTCCAGGCTTCCATTCCGTAGAGCAGAACTGTGAATATGTAGCAGTTCAATAGACGGCATCTTGTTTTTAATGATATGTCTCGACTGTTGAAAATGGTTACCATTCTAACGAATGCTGCTTTTGCTTTTATTATTCGCTGTTTAATTTCTGTTGAGTGGTCCCATTGGCTATTTAAATTGGTGCCTAGATATGTATATTGCTCGACTCTTTCGATATTCTGTTGGTTGATTTTAAGTTGAGCGTTTAGTATTGCTTTTTTACTAATTGTCATAAATTTGGTTTTCTTTATGTTAAGAGCTAGTCCGTATCTGTTGCTGACTTCTGTTATGCGATTTGTTAATATCTGTAAGTCATTCAGATTATCGGCAAAAACTATAGTGTCATCTGCATATCTAATGTTATTCAACCATTCACCGTTTATTAGTATTCCTTTCGCACAACCGTCTAAAGCTTCCTTAAATACCCATTCAGAATCAATATTGAACAACAATGGAGACCAAATACAGCCCTGTCGTAGTCCACGTTCTATTGCAATTTTATCAGTTAACTGGTCTTCTATTTTGATTTTGGCCGTTTGATTGTATTAAATGTTTCTGATAATTCTTATTCTAATAAGATATCTTAATAAGATCGTTGTTGTCAAATGCCTTTTGGTAATCTATAAAGCATACGTATATGTCACAATTCACATCCCTGCATCTCTGAAATAGTACTTGTACCGCAAAAAGGGCCTCCCGTGTTCCCAGAGCATCACGAAATCCGAATTGTGTTCTTGTTAGTTGTTCCTCACATTTTGTTTATATTCTTTTGTGAATGACCTTTAGAAATGGTCATTTACAGAAGAATATATAGAATTTAAAACCAAGAATTTAAATCTTTAAACCAATTGAAACCAATAGAGAGAATACAACATCCTTCAAATTAAACTTTTTGAGGCTTTTCGTTACGTTACTATCCTGAGAAATAGTGTGGATGAGCAATTTATTTTTATACAAGAACATAATTGTGATTCATCAACTGCAATAAATGTGTGCAGTTTGGTGGTAGAAAGATGGTTTAGATATCGCCATCACTTGATCTAAGTGCAATAGCAAATACCTCTCTAATGACACAACTTTTAAATTCGTTCTTGCAGCAGACTGGCAGACAATTCTTTTTGAGAGCTCTGGGGTTTTTAGCTTTACCAATCACTAACAAATCCAATTTGTGTATTCCAGTAGATTCCAGTATTTGAACATAGAGCATACATGTGATTCTACCTTTATTTAGTTTACGACCTGGTGCGCTTAATTCCATAATGCAGACGGAACTGAGACCACTCTCGTCTGCATTATGGATTTGGTCAGGAAGAAAATCCCGTTTGTCTACTTTTTCTTTAAAATTCTGGATACATGCATGGCTGTATTGAAGATTCGTTGTTTGACAATTTTTCACCTGAAGTAAATAAGCGGATATTGTCCAGACTCCCCACACTATCTCGAAAATTTTCTTTCTTTTTATTTTTATATACAGATTGAACCAAATTAAAACGGAACATACAATTTAATACATGTCTGTTTGAACTGCATTTGAAATAGTGGACCAATATAAAACTTGGACAAAAATAAATCCATACCTGGGTATAGACATTGTATAAAATATCGTTCAACTATCTGTCTCACAACAATGTTGTTTGCGTAAGACGGGTTTGTCTAAGGAAACGATAATAGTTCAGGAAATGAATCTCGAAAAAAGTTAAAACCTCGCAATTTTTTCGTCCTGCATGTATCCAGTTGAAATTTTAACAGAAGGTAGGTGATAGCCCAAGGATCAAAATTTATATCGAACCGAAGTGCGCTGAAGGGTTTTAGGGGTGAAAACTACCCCTAATTGTCAAAAATTATAAAATAACATATTAAACCTGAATATGGGTAAGATTTGGTTTGAATTAGTTAAATAATGGTTATTTTATACTTTTGAATAGAGTTCCATCATATTTCAACCCTTAAAAAGCAACCCTTGTTAGAGATTAATGTAAAAAATTACTAATTCTAAAAAAATGATTTCGCCTTGGATCGATTTGGATAAAAATTTATATTTAAGCTCAATTCACCCGCTGCTTTATAGTTTATGTCATGTCGACGAACCCTGATTGTTCTAAGGGGTGAAAACTACCCGTAATTGTCAAAAATTATAAAATAACATATTAAACCTGAATATGGGTAAAATTTGGTTTGAATTAATTAAATAATGATAGTTTCGTGCTTTTGAATAAAGTTCCATTATATTTCAACCCTTAAAAAGCGACCCTTATTAGAGATTAATATAAAAAAATTAGTAATGCAAAGAAAATGATTTCAACTTGGAACGATTTGCATAAAAATTTGGACTTAAGCTCAACTCACCCTCTGCTTTATAGTTTATGTCATGCCGATGAACCCTGATTGTTCTTAGGGATGAAAACTACCCCTAATTTTCAAAAATTGTAAAATAATATTATAAATCTTAAAATGAGTGAAATTTGGTTTGGATTAGTTAAATATTGATTTTTTTATACTTTAAAATACAAATTCATACATTTTCAACCCTTAAAAATCAATTGTTATGAGTGCTATAGGTGAAAACAATTTTTTGCCAAAATTTTGCAACTTTTCAACTTTTGAAAATCACCCTTTACAACATTGCAGTTTTTATAAACTAATTTATAAGATATAAATTGAAAAAAGTAGAATTAAATACAAAAAAATTTATCAACATAAAAAGGCACCATATATTCTTATACATTTACATAAATAGTAGAAAATATTTACATTTACAGGTTAAACAATTATAATATTAGTTTTATTCGTCATCAATTACATCTTCATCGTGATCTATGTCATCCTCATCTTCAATTATTGGTGGACTATTATTGCACCCTTCACCTGAGCACCCAGAACAAGTAGAGTTACAGTATAAATCAACTTTTCTGCACCTACATGAAACACCGCATCCTTTTTTGCATTGCCAAAAAATAATTTTCAAAAGTTCATCGAGTGCAGGTTGTTTGTTCATGCGTACGGGTAATAACAAACCATCTTTGGAATACCATCCCCAATCTGTTGCTCTAATATTTTCATTTAAAACGCTTAAAATTTCGAATGTATAACGCCCCACTAGCTAATATACCGGTTTTGTAGATTATTATGCTCCGAAATGTACTGTACTATACTAATAGAATTTTCCGGAAAAAAATTCACTGGTTTTTTCAACATATTTCTTTTAATTTTTAACGATAGAGTGTTTCTTCAAAAACGATTTGTAGAGGTTTTTAAGAGCTACAAGGATCTTTGAAATAAATCTTTTTGGAACCCTTGGTTTTTAAATGAGGTGAGTTTAAAGGGCTCGAAAAAGATGGTGCTTGATCGTAAATCGATGCTTTAAACGGCTATATCTCGCCAAATATTCATTGTACAACAAATCTAAATGAAGGATAATTTTAGTCATTAAAAAAGCTACAATTTGGTAATTTGTATTTTTTTCATATATTCAGTATTTTGAAACTTGTTATTGAAGGTATATTGACAAGATATATTGAAGGATGAACTTCTGTTATCTTCATCCTTCAAAAGTATCTTGTCAATCAGTTCCACGCTGTTCTCCGAGTGCAGAGGTTCCCTCTCACCGGCTCTGGAACCAGATTGAGCCATGTGTTACCTATAGTCTAATTTAATACTGAACATCACAGTTATTTTACAACAAAATGTACAATATTTCATAACTAAATGTAATTTAAAGGGTTTTTACCCTAGTATTTTGGTGGCTCAGGCATTGTGACCTAGTAAGTATAACCATCTTTTGCTTTTCAACCATAGTCAAAATTTCACAATCTCGTTTGTTTTAACTAAATGGTTTATACTTATTTTTAGACATTTTTCGATTTTAAAAACCTAATGATGGACTGTGTGGTCCGAAAACGTTTGTTTTATTGATGTGGCCCTTTTAAGGGTTTTTTAAATAAATATACCCATTTACAAAGATTAACCTCTTTTTGTTATACGTGGTATACAGCCAGCTACAGGAATTTTTCCTTGTGGATTTTATTAGTAATACCTTTTATTGTTATTTAGCTTTTGATATATTTACGAATCCCTTTGATAGGTTTTAGTTAGAATAAATAATGTGTTAAGATCACCTCACACAAACTAGGTGCGAGGGAGGCGCGGGCAGATGGTGCCGGATTATTGGTTGTGTCTGTTTATTGAAGTGCCGTATTAGTGCCATATTCTACTGTAGTTCTACAATTTAAGTGGGAATTAATTATTTTTATAAACCAAAATAAAAGAATAGATGAAAATGTTATTTAATAAACAAAGGATAATACCAGTACTTTTTAAGAACAGTCGAAAAGAAAATCTCAGTTATCGTCGATGTTTAACAAAGGTGGAAAATATTTTAAAGATTTGAATGAGCTGTAACTACCAAATATCCTTGTAAATATTTTAAATTGAACAAAAGAGGTAATCTGTATTACCTCTGTACAACCCCAAGACGACGTGCATGTTGAACTCCTTCTTTCGCTCCAAGTTGTCATTGTAAAACGAAAATAAATGGGTTTTATTGTGTGGAAGGAAGTTCTAGCGACATCTGGTTCTGAGTCTCGGTCTGAGGTCGCCTTTGTCTTTTTCGATGCGGAGAAGATTAGAGCCAATTGCTATATATCTTTGATTCGAAAAATGATATCGCGAAAGAACAAAGGATATTCGAGAAACATAATAAGAAAAATGGGGTTAAGTTTTAGTGGTGATAGATTTCTTAAGAGTGTTAGAAATATAGTTGTCTGGACGGAATTTCTAAGTTGTCAAAGTTTTATTTTGTCTTTAAATAGATTATTAGCAAGATATAAGGATTTACGAAAAAAATGTACCATTGTTGATAATATACACTTAATTGATTTCAAATAAAAAATTTTGAAGTAGAGAATTTAGAAGGCTTTTATTTGATGGACATCTATTATTATTTATCCATAAGGAAAATAAAATTCCTGTAGTTTGCTATATACCATAAATCATAAAAATATAATTTAAAAATCCTTTATAAGGTATATAATTAAAAGACCCTTTCAGGCTACATCATAGAATGTTTTCGGACTAAAAAGTCCATCATCAGTGTATTATTACCAGGTTTAAATAAGTCAAGTTACTAAATATATGGGTAAAAACCCATAAAAAGTTACAAAATTTGTTTAAAAATACTCTTGCATGGCAACGTAAGACTCCCTAATAAAGATTGTCGCTGAGCCTCAGACGTCTTCTTCTCCTTCCCATTTAATGTCTGTATTTTGTTAGTTATTTTTCATGCAGCTTTTGTGGCGCTACCCGTGACGACGCCATATTGTGGCGCTAGTTCCGTGACGCCAACCTCAGCATTTTACTATAGAGAAAAAGTAATACTACTCCAATAGAGAAGTTTGCTTCAAAAAGTCTTAATCCAATAGCTAAAAAGCCTTTACTACTAGTTCTTTTAAAGTGAATGAACTCTAGTATCATCAATGATTTAGTAATTGTATGAATGGAAATTACAGTCTCAGGGAGGGAGCACTTATTGAGTAAGTAAAGACCGTGAGTAGCTAGTATAGCTGAAAAATTGTTTTCAGCTATTCTAGCTGTTTAATACAGCAACGATATTTGTTGACTGTTTAATACAAATAGGTTTAAAAGGTAAAAAAAGTAACTTTTATATTTGTGACCCTACACGTCTACTATTTCCCATTGAAAATTAATCGCATTATTCGCGTAATCACTATTTCGTCCCCTCCTTATATACAAGCCATGTCTCATTCCAACGCTCAGAGTTTCCTTCGAAATTAACAAAATTACCAATTTGAGCGCGAACACAACAAAACTACCGGAATTCCAAAGTAGCAACGCCGTCCTCCATTCCTTTTACCCCAATGACAAACTTAATTAGATCGGGAATTAGTAAAACCACATTGTCTTTCACCTCTATCTAATATCCCCGAAGAATTCCCACAAACTTGTCGCCGACCCATCTATCCACTTCACAAACTTACGACGATCGTGATGGAAACAGCTCAGAAATAACAATAACTGATAGAAGTAGGTATGCATTATTGTATATTTAATACGTTATTCTACTATCATTATAGGTAAATATTATATTAAATCTTACATCACATAAACCTAATCGTTATACAAAGTTCCCGTACGCGTCAAATGAAAGATCTCAATTAGAAATAATTAAAAACAAAGAAGCACTTAGGTCACTAACCAAAAAATATAATATAATACTGTTACGAACATGCATTCAGCGTGGCCCGTGTAACGGTTGCATCTCGAAGCAGCATCTCAGGCATCAAGAACCATCCACAGATCTCTCGAACGCAAGAGAACAATCCGTTAAGTAAGTGAATTAGAGGTGGGAATGTTCTAGAACATAGTAACTTTGGTATATATATATATGTAACGATGTTAGGAGTAAATTTAGTTGATAAAATAGTACCGAACTGTAAACTTATAAATAAATATATTTATGTAAATTCGAACCGCTCGTTTTAATTAATCTCGCTACAATACATATATATTTGCACTAATTTACTATTTTACTTCGTATTGGAAACCTGCTTAAGAGTACATGCAACAGAGGCAAAAACATTACGAACACCTGCTAGTAAAAACAGACCAAAGTACAAATCTAAAGATCAACTACTTAATAACGAAGTAACATACAAAAAAAGTTAGTAAGATAGAGAAGTTATAACGCTTCTCTCCATAAAGAAGAATTACCGACCCCTAGGTTCTAGAAGTATTCCTGTCGAATTACTAAAGGCAGCAAGTCCTTATTTATGGATCAAAATAACACAACTAATGCAAAATTCCTGCCAACAAAATACAGATTCTATCTGAGTGGAAAACGGAGCACTTAATATCTATTTGTAAGAAAGACAATAGAGATACCAATTGCTCTCTAGGTTTGAGTATTAATAGTACAATAAGCTAACTGTTCAATAAAGTTACTAATGATAAAATAAGATGGAACATCAATCAAATAATTGGAGAAGTTCAAAGCGATTTTACCTCAGAGATATTCTGTACAGACAAATTATTAACTTTACAACAGATAGCAGAAAAATTTATAGTTGTAAAAAAGAAATTATATTTAGCATTTGTGGACTTGGTAAAATCCTACGATAATGTTCCCACATCAAAGTTGGGGGACTCTTTGAAGACTTGTAAACCTATTACAGATAATTACAGAATTATATAGAGACAAAACCGTACAAATAAAAAAGGATTGACACTCTCCTAATCTGTTAATATCACAAAGGGATTGAGACAGATTTGCAGCATATTTCCTGTTCTACTTAATTTGTATGTAGAAGCTGCGCTTAAAAGTTGAAAAAACGATGTGGTGGAATGGAAATACTTATAAATAACTACAACACAGTTTTTTCACTCAAATGATGTAAGCAGAAGACACAGTGGTGGACCGAATAAAATAATAATTTTTAAAGTGGTTTGGGCATTTATTAAGAATGCCTGACGAGCGATGACCTATAACAATATGTCATTTGATATCACCAGGAAGAAAACGGGGTAGACGACGCAGATATTTGAATGAAAACTTCAGAAGATCGATGAATGACTCTCCAAGAGATGAAGAAATCTTGGATAAAGAAAATTGGTAAAGAATGATGGAAATGTAACAAGACACTG